CTTACTTGAGCTAGATCTCGATTCAGCAATGTGCATGAGAGCAGAGGATCTCTCTGCTTGCTCCCTCCTCATTGGTTCAAAGACAGTAGCAGAGGCTGTGACGATCGCGGCGTCAGACCCCAGCCTTCTCACCAAACTCGTGACCGAAGAACTAGCCAATCTAAAACCACGCTGTCACGTGCGTAACAATGCCACGCCCAGCTGCACCCTGCACACAGATTTTGCAGCTAATGGACCACAACCTGTGTACCTGCAGCTGAGTGCGATTGTTACTGGGGTCAGGTTAATTACACAATTAACCCTTCACACTGCCACCACCTCCTTTTTGTACAGAGAAAAAGGAAACTCAATATCAGCAATAACACTATGATGTTTGCATAAGCGTCTGTATACCACTGTCACCACAGACATAGATATACCAAAGTTTAAAACACACCCACAGTAGTGCTCTTCAGAGGCAGAGGTTCTTAGTTTGCATAAAAGAGCTTTAGAAACAGTTCAGCACTTTCAGAAAGTAAGATTTTATTACTAAAAATGTTAAAAAGGGTGCAATAAAAACTATTTACAGAAAAAGATGTAGCCAATTATATATATATTATATATATATATATATATATACAGTTGCAAGAAAAAGTATGTGAACCCCTTAGGATTACATGAAATTTTGCATGAATTGGTGCATAAAATGTGCTTGCTCTGAACGTCATGGAAAATCACAACATCATAGAAGAACACATTCTGCTGAACATAATACTACACAAAACATTAGATTTTGTTGCCCATGGTTTAATTGCACATAACATGTAAACATTCACAGTGCAAAAAATGCAGAAAGGCTAAAAAGTATGTGAGGCACCCCTAGCTTAATGACTTCTCACCAGAGCTAAATTGGAGCCAGGAGTGATCAACCTTGACTCCTTTTTGTGTGATGATCTTTGGATGTGTTGCTGACAGCTGTGCCCATTCTTCCTTAAAAAACACAAACCTGTTTTCGGTTTACTTTGGTTTCAAGAAGCACTGTCTGATGTGAACCATGCCTCGCAGAAAAGAGCTCTCAGAAGACCTACGATCAAGAATTGTTGACTTGCATGAAGCTGGAAAGGGTTACAAAAGTATCTCCAAAAGCCTTGATGTCATCATGTGTCCACGGTAAGACAGACTGTCTACAAATGGAGAAAGTTTAGCACTGTTGCTACACTCCCTAGGCGCGGTTGTCCTGTAAAAATGACTGCAAGAGCACAGCGCAGAATGCTGCATGAGGTAAAGAAGAATCCCAGAGTGTCAGCTAAAGACCTACAGAAATCTTCTGGCACATGCTAACAAACATTTTTGTTGACACATCTACAAAAGGAAAACATTAAACAAGAATGGAGTACATGGGAGGACACCATGGAGGAAGCCATTGCTGTCCAAAAAGTTCAATATTGCAGCACGTTTGAAGTTTGCAAAAGAGCACCTGGATGTTCCACAGCACTACTGGCAAAAATATACTGTGGACGATGAAAACCAGAGATTGAGTTGACTCTTTTGGGAAGAACACACAACACTATGTATGGAGAGAAAAAAGTGGACAGCACACCAACATCCAAAACCTCTTCCCCACTGTAAAACATGGCGGGAGGGAGCATCATGGTTTGGGGTGCTTTGCTGCCTCAGGGCCTGGACGGGTTGTTGTCATTGATGGGAAAATAAATTCCAGAGTTTATCAAGACATTTTGCAGGAAAACGTTATGACCATCTGTCCACCAACTGAAGCTCCGCAGAGGCCATGGGTGATGCAACAGGACAATGACCCAAAGCATACAAGTAATTCAACAAAACAATGGCTGCAACAGCACAGAATACACCTTCTGGAGTGGCCCAGTCAACTCAGTCCTGACCTCAACCCGATTGAAATGCTGTGGCATGACCTTAAGAGAGCGATTCGCACCAGACATCCCAAGAATATTGCTACAACTGAAACAGTTTTGTGAAGAGGAGTGGTCCAAAATTACTCCAGATCTTTGTGCAGGTCTGATCTACAACTACAACAACTACAGGAAACGTTTGGTTGAGGTTATTGCTGCCAAAGGGAGTCAACCAGTTATTAGGTCCAAAGGTTCAAACTTTTCCAGACCTGCACTGTGTGAATGTTTACATGTTATGTGCAATTAAACCCATGGCCAGATCTAATTTTGTGTAGTATTATGTTCAGCAGACTGTGTCCTTCTATTGTTGTGACTTAGATGATTTGTTCATCTTTCCTTGCACATTTTTATGCCCAATTCATGCAAAAACTCCACGTAATCCCAAGGGGTTCACATACTTTTTTCTTGCAACTGTATATATATATATATATAAAAATACACAAAAAGAGCAATAGCACAGCAAAGAGATAACAGAAAGGAATTTAGGGAGGTAAAGTACTTGCCAAACGTCTGGTTTAAGCAGATCAGGTTTCAGAGCCAAAAGGATTTCTTATCTCTCCAAAGTTAGTTCCAATTTTAAAAGGGAGAATCTACAACTTCACTCAACTCAGCTTAGGTTAGCTTTTCTAGGAACTCAGCAAGGGTGTCTCCCTGAAGCAGAGAACCAATTGCCTCATTTGGGGAGGGAGTTGTAGGCGGGGAGCTCAGGCTCTGACCAAAGCCCTCATAAATTATACTTTGGTCAATAACTTTTCCTAGGTACATGTAACATTTTCCACCCACTGGTAAATTAATACGCAGAATGGTCTGCTGAACGTCTACATATGAAATATGTCATACCTGCTGGGATGGTTAAGGAGATATTATTTTCTGCTCTTCTGTTGATCTCAGCTAGGGGATGTAATATCTCAAAAGATTTGTATTAAAGTGAGCCATCCGAATATGTGCTCCATGTTTGTGTACGTCTTTCATAATCCAAGATATGTAATCATAGGGGAAAATGGATGTTGAATGTGGTGTCTGGTTTACTGTTTATCTGGAATGTCCTTGAGCTCAGTGAAGGACTTGGTTTATGGCTTTACGATATCCCAGATTGAGAAGTTAACAGACATCTAGGCCCCAGCTCGGTTGGAATTTTATAGCCCTGGAGCTCTCCCACTGGGGCCTGTTGCCTTTTTAACACAGACCAAGTTCCTGAGGGGGGGAATTGGAGGAGGAAGCCTGATTTGGGAGTAGACATGATACAAGATGGAAGATCCTTTAGCAAAATGGAGGTTGCATCCATCCCTGTGTGCATGATTGCTACAGAGGCCACTGGCTCCTGCTGCTTTCAATCACAGCAAGGAGGATGAAGAGGGGGGGCAGGGCTAGTTTTCCCGCTATCTGGCTCAATAGACACAGACAGCAAGGCTCTGGAGCAAGCCCTCACAAATGCCCCCATATCAAGCTATGGGAGCACTGGGCTGGGGATGAGAAGCCAGAAGTGCCAGTGGGGGACCTGAGAAGAGGGGGATCAGGGCTACTGTGTGCAAAACCATTGCACAGAGCAGATAAGTATGACATGTTTGTTATTTTGAAGAAAAAACATATGTTTAGAAACACTTTAAAGTGTAACTAAAGGCAAACGTCTTTTTTGTTTTGGATAGAGTGGATTAGAAGACCTGTCAGTTTTTAATGCTGTTGGTGACCCTCTCTATATGTCCTGTTTATCATTATCATTAAAAGTGAAAATTAAAATCCCAAATTTTGGATTGACACCAGAACAGTAATAGAGGGGAAATCTTCCAATGGGGACACTAGTTCTGGTGACCCTGGTAACATGCCAGAATTCCCTCACTTTGGAGGGATTGCTTCTCACTTCCTGTTTTAGCTATGGAGCAGGAAGTAAAGGGAAATCTCCCCTTTGGGACACAGATGGCAAACAAAAACCTGACAGGGGTTGTAACCCCCCTTACTCTATCAAACATTTTGTAAAAGTTTTGTCTGTAGTTAAACTTTAAATCCGAGTAACTAGTATTTTAAAGCAGTCAGTAATGAAAACTTACACATTTCTCTCTTTAACCTCCAGCCAAACATAAATGAGCTAAAACACAAGAGAATTTCTGATACACAAATAAAAACAGACAACATACACTAATGAAGGCCTGAATGATAATAAATATACAGAAATAATAATGTGTCACTTTATGTGTCACATGATTTTCCCTTCCAGTATTCTCAGTGTATGGAGAGAACTAGTTGGAAACAACCGATGGAACCTGAAAAACCTGTTCTATATCCACATTTAGCACAATTCTGCTGAAACAAAAACTTCACTAAGAGATCAGTGTTTTGAACATGAAGTAAGAAAATTCACCTAAATATTTCACTTTAAAAATTGTGACATGATAAAAATACTGCGAAAGCAATCACAAATGAAGATTTTTTTATCATAACTAAAAGGGAGGCCTTGGATTAACTGATCAGAAGCTTGAAAAGAAATAAAGTAAATCCAAATATTGCTTGTCTTAGCTAAACTCTGCTAAACTCTGCTGTCTTGAGACAATAATCTTGTCGTAGAATCTTTAGCATCTAGGGCTGTCTCCCAGCCTGTATTTAACAGGCCAGCAATTCCATCCTTGAATTTCAGAGGATTTTAGTTTAATCACTTGGCCTCCAGAGGATTTACACCAGGAATTTTTTTGCAATATGGCACTAAGTTACTTTAACTGACAATTGTGCGGTCATGCAATACTGCACCCAAATTAAATTTATTTTCCACAAATTTATCTTTCTTTCTATGGTATTTGATCGCCTCTGCAGTTTTTATTTTTTTCGCTATAAACAAAAAAAGACCGACAATTTTGAAGAAAAAACTATATTTTTTACTTTTTGCTATAAAACATATCCAGTAGAAACATTTTACAAATCAAATTTTGTCATAAATTTAGGCCAAAATGTATTCTGCTACATGTCTTTGCTAAAAAAAAAAATCCCAATACATGTAAATTAATTGCTTTACGTGAAAGTTATAGCATCTACAAATGGCGGTATATATACTAGAATTTTTTTTTATTTATTTTTTCAATCGTAGTAATGACAGCGATCAGTGACTTATAGCAGGACTGCAGCGGGCATTCTGACACTGGGGTGGAACTGACTAACTGCTACTGACATCCCCAGGGACACAAATACAGTGATCAGTGCTAATAAAAAGCACTGGCACTGTATTAATAACACTGGGCAGGAAGGGGTTAACATCTGGGGCAATCAAAGGGTTAACTGTGTGCTGTTTTACAAACTGTACTGTGTGTGCTTTACTGTACAAGCATGCTGCTTGGTATTGCTCTGCTATGCATAGAAATCCAAAGCAGCATGCTGGTGCTGACAGGGGAGAGATCTGTATTGTTTACATACAGACCTCTCCCCTGTCAGTGTTCCTCGGCGATTGCCAGGTGTTGGCAGGGAATCTCCGACTGGGGCCCAGTGATTGACAGCTGTAGCCCCTAATGGCCCTGATGGTCTGTAGCCAGGGGCAGACTGACCATTTGGAAACTCAGGCACTGCCCGAGGGCCCGGGGTCAGTAGGGGGCCCCATGAGATGCCCCTGGTACCTTTTTCATAGGCTTTTTTGAGTTTGGGCAAGGACAAACAGTTTGGGCTATTTGTATACTTTAACCCACTTTAGTTCACAGATTTACAACTATGTAACTTTGGATTTATTAGACTGAATACAACTTAGCCCAGTGCAATAACAGTATATAATAAAAAGCACTGCATTTCTAAACATTTTATAACAAATCAATACACCTGTGTGGGAAGGCTTTCAGGACATGAGCAGCATATTAGTTTTGGGCAGTAGAAATAAAATAATTTAGTTCCTTGTTATGACAGTATCAAATGTTGTTAGGTTCACTCAATCTGTTCTTTGGTCTTCCCTACACAATAAAGTTGTTTTGCGCATACAGGAAGTAGAACCACATGAAATTTTATTTTGAAATACCATCTGGGTATCACACATAGAACAATGCAGAATGGGTGGAGTAACAGGTTATACAATGAATCACTATCTGAAACTTTACAATATCATCACAATTTAAAAGGAGAACTTAAAGACTGAGAGTGACTGAAAAGACTGACGAAAGATTTAAGGAGCACGAGAAGCTTCAACAGGTAAGTGATGACAGCTTGAGATTTGCTAGCATTACCTTTTATATTTTTTCTTGTATACTGTACATTTTTTTAAACATTAAATTTAGTATTCCATGACAATAAGACAAAGATATTTTAAAATGTGAGTCACATTAACAGACACAGGACAAGACTATAAATACACTGACATTTTGGAATAGTTCTGTCGTCTCAAAACAGTTCTGGAGAGAATATAAGTAAAAGCAGCATTCTTAGGGTCTTGCGGTCTCTTTGCAAAAAGCATAAAGTCATTAAAAATGAATAACTAGAAGTAGACAGACACTGATGTAATAAGAATTGCCTACACTATCGCTTAACTAACCTATCTACCCAGGGGTGTATTTACCACAAGGAAAACAAGGCATTTGCCTAGGGAGGCATTTTTTTAGCACTGCCCCTGGAAAAAGGGACATATGCGGCATGGGGATCAGGTGGGATCCGAGAGAGGCTGCGGGCTGCTTGATGGTGTATGCAGAGCCCAATTGTCGCACCTGGGGATGTCCAGAGCTGTGAAGGTAAGTGTCTTTCTCTCTTTCACCGGGGTGCGTGTGTGTTAGTGGAAGGCTCTCTCGGGTGGGAGCTGGTGTTAGTCGGTGTCAGGCTCTCTCTGCTGGGTGGGGGCCTCCATTTTTTGTGTTGCCTAGGGAAGAACAAAACCAAAATACACCACTGTATCTACCATGGAAGAGTAGAGGAGGACAGATTGTTTCTTGTCCCACAATTGAGACAAAAGCAATAAGTAAGGGTCTACATATCCCTTGAAAAGACGGGGGAAGGTTTTAACAGTGCCTGCCAAACAACTACTGTATATAGTATAACACAATAACAATAGAAATAGAGTACACCTAGAGATGAATAAGAAGAGAACAGATAAAGGAAGAGACCATAGAGCAGTGGTTCTCACACCTTCCTAATGCCATGATTCTTTAATACAGTTCCCTCATGTTGTGGTGACCCCCAACCATAAAATTATTTACCCAGTAATTATAATTCATGAGTGTCGTTTTCACAGTCAACCTACCTCCTAATACTGCTGTTTTCAGTCCCTCCCAGTAGTTTCTAGCCTGACATCCAACTGGACATCAATGGCTCTAGCATAGGCTGGTTATTGATCAAGCTAGCTAGCTATTACCAGGCCAAAAAGCGACAGGGTAATCAACAGCTACATTTAAACTGTTTTGCAATAAACAGGGTAGCTCTACTGGAAGGTTTACACATACGGCACAGAATATCCGGCACTGTGCATGTGATTTCAGATGAGATACTCTGTCATTAGGGATCAAGAAGTTATAGGTAGCTACTGTGAAAGGGGCGTATTTAGAGCCACCAAGGGGTCACTTAAAAAGATGACCAGGCCAGGCATTGAGAACCATGTCATGCCATATGTAGGAATGGTTTGCTGTGAACATTGATCTCCTGAAAACAGCTGATTAAATAAACACAATCTACATAATGTGTTTGCTTAGCTTAGACCATTAAACACAAAACTGTCAGAGCGCAGCAGCTTATTGAATACTTGTCTTTCATCACATCTACTGTCATGTTTTTATTATTCCACTAAGTGTCTTGTTTTTTTAAAATAAAGTTTGCCATGTAATTTACTTGTCACCACTTAGTCATTGATCTTTTGATACCAATGCTGAGCATTGTGCTTAAAGTAGTATTAAGCCACCAAGTACATCTCACTTAAAAAATGAGAGACATTGTCACATCTTCCAACTATAAATAGGCTTGTTTGCTTTTACAGTATTTTTTGATAGGTGGAAAATAAGTATTTGCCGTCAATTAAAGTTCATCTCAATACTTTGTTATATATCCTTTGTTGGCAATGACAAGGTCAAATGTTTCCTGTAATCTTCACTAAGTGGCACAACTGAGCTGGTTTGGTCCTTGAGAATAGAGCAAAGTTGGGGCAGTGCCTCAACCTAGGTCTGGGCGTTTGTGAACAGAGAGAAGATTCCCTTCCTGGGATATGTTAATCATTGTATGTTGTAAACCCAAAGTAATTGGAAGTTTTGCAGAAAGATCACTGTCAGTCGTCCTGGGTCCCCAGCATGTATGTTGCCACCCCCAACAGTAGGTATGGTGTTCTTTGGATGCAACTCAGCATTCTCTCACGAGTTGTGTTTCTACCAAACAGTTCTATTTTGGTTTATATGAGATGCACAATCAGATCATATGAGCAAATGCTGCAGCAAAGTCCAGTTGCAGGGGTCCCTGGCCTGTGATGATGTAGCCTTTGTACTGTCAGCTCTTGTTCACGAGGTCCCCCCGTTGGTCCTGGGAGACGTTCTGAATTTTGACCCCAAGATCTTGCGTGGAGCCCCGATCATCAGTGGGTAGATCCTCCAACTGATTTGTCCAAGCTGCCAGCCTGGAATGGAGCTGGTGTCCTTCGACAGTTTGGTCTTCACCAGTGGAGTTTGGAGTGTGACTGTTTGAGGTTGTGGAAAGGTGTCTTTTATACTGATAACAAGTTCAAACAGGTGCATTGATACAGGTAATGAGTGCAGGACAGAGGACTTCTTAAAGGAGAATACATAGAAATCTTGCTTGTTTGTAGGTACTTATTTTCCTACCATTATTTTCAAATAAATTCTTTCCAACTCAGCCAATGTGATTGTCAGTCTCCTCCCTAATGTACAGGCCTTTCTAGCCTGCAATTTTCATCAGCGCTATCACACTTTGAATGACAATTGGCAGTCATGCAACACTGTACCAAATTAATTTTTAAGCATTTTTTTAGGCTGGTTATTGGTGGTATTTATTACCGCTGGGATTTTTATTTTTTTTGTTATGTAAATGAATAAAAAAGTCCAAAAATTTTGAACAAAAGTGTTTTTTTTATATAAAATTTTGCAAATAAATAATATTTCATCATAAATCTTTGCCAAAATTTATTCCGTTATCTTTTTAGTAAAAAAAAAAAAAATGAGACAAAAATTATAATTTTTAAAATTTTTTTTTACATTTTTATTTTATTTTTTATATTATTTTTTTTTTTTTTTTTTTTACATACTGTCACCCTAGCAGTACAGTGTCACCAGACACTACACTTGTGGGGGGTGATGAAGATTTTTTTTTTTTTTTCCACACTGATTGCTTTTATACCCATATAGGATGTAAAAAGCAATCATTTCTCTTTCTCTCTGTGTTGCATTCCAGCACTATTGAGAAGTACTGAGCTGTGATTGGTCACACCTTGTCACATGGTACAGCTGTTGTGAATAGCCTTGTACCATGTGACCTCTGTGATCATTCACAGGCACACGTAGTAAGCAATGATGTCACAAGTGACATCTTGCTTACTACTTTGCATGTGATCACTGATTGCAATCAGTGATCACATAAGGTCCCGTAAACGGTGTTTTCACAGTCCGGAGGACAGGGATACTCGCGGTGTCATTAGGTTCAGACTGCCACCGTCCGTTTATATACAACGGCCGGTCGGGAAGTGGTTAAGTGGGAGAACGTAGGCTAGCTACTGTGCCCCACTGTAAACAGCCAAAACACAGAAACAATTACCTAACAGTCTCTTCTACTGCCGTAGATAAAATATAGTATTGCAGTAATGCAATTTCTGTATGTGGATTTGTAGTGTCAGCTCGCTGGAGTGGGTGGTTCCGGGAAGCCCATGCCCCCATTATATTTGGGCATACTGAGAATGTCTGTTTTAATTAGGCGGGCCCCCCTCTCCCTGCACAAAATGTTTCCCTCTACAACAAATCTCTGCTGGCGTTTTACTAAAGCTGTTGGTACACAGCTCCATATTGGTGGGATTGTGACCAAATACAACCCTTCTGGCGACAGGTTTTTGCGGTGTATAACAGGGTCTATGGTGAGTCCTTGGTCCCTTCGCCAAAGATTGCTTTGCTCTCTATATTACCGGGCTCACTGGCAATACAAAAGAAAAGTCAGTTGCGCTTTTTTCTATCTGCGGCCCGCCAATTGATACCCCTCTTTTGTAAAACAGCCACCCCCCACCTCTCCGGATGTGGGTTTTGTGCTTAATGATATCATGCGTATGGAGTAAATGCTGACATTTGCCAATGATACCTATGATACACATAAGTTATTGTGGTCGGTTTGGCTCCATTTCTCCTCCTCTTCAACTTTCCATGATATGTGTTCCCCTGTCGTGCCCTGATGGAGTTGAGGTTTGCTTCCCCAATTCATTTTCTTTTTGGAAGGTCTGCTAGTGTGGCCCCGCGGCTTGCGCCAGGTGCGGTTTGCGGGATTACCCCGGTGGGATACTGGTAGAGGACAGCCTTGGTTCTGCTTTTTGCCGTTCCCGTCTTCTGACCCCCTCTCTTCTCATCTTTCTCTATCTCTACAACTGACTTCTCTTTTTTCTCTTCTCCTTATATTTTCTTCTCTTTTTTCTAAGTTTGGGTTTATACTCTTGATTATGCGGTGCTATCTCATTTTGTTCCTTATTTCTTGCTGGGGATGCCCCCCTTGAAACTCTGTTTATTCATATCTCAGTAATATGCGTTACGGTGTTATTGATCCTTCCATCTTTCTGTTGTATGGAATCATTTTCACCTACCCACATGGATCATCGTCACATCTGTGATGTGTTTTTTTTTTATGTTTATCTACTTGTACTTGTTTTCATTATATCTCATGTCTTGTTTTGTTAATTTGTTGAAAATGTAATAAAGACAAATTTGCCTTTAATTCTCGGAGGGCAGTCTGCCCAGAGGAATTGTATAAACTCTCGCTTAACTTGCCACAGAAAAATGATTGGGACTGCCACTGGGAGGGCTTGGAAGAGGTACAGCAGTCAGGGGAGCATATTTATTTTTAAAATACTGTTCCTGCCAAATCAAGTATGGGTGAGCAGGCGGCAATGTCAAAATCACATCAGATAAACAAGTACAGTTGGGGGAAGTTGCTCTGAAGCGTGGTGGCTAAAGACCATATAAGAAAAATTCTCAGGTACTTTAGTTTCTCAGCTGCCATTTGAATGGGAACTTCAATTGGAAGGTACTAAGCCTGTCTGAGGAGAAATTGGTCTTATAATTAAGGCAGTTGAGAGAAGAGATCTAATTCCTTGATCAGGTTAGGGACTGATGTTTCAGGACTGGTAATGAAGAACAGTAGATCCTTGGTGTAAGAGGCAACTTTGTGTGATATCTCACCAACCTGTATGCCCTTAATGTCATGGTTCAGTCTAATGTGTCGTAGCAGGGGCACTAGGGTATGAACATAAGGGGTGAAAGCAGGGGTGCGGACTGACAACTCATGGGGCCCCCGGGCAATAGGGGATCATGGGTGCCCCTGTGTCCTTGCCCAAACTCAAAAAAGTCTATGAAAAAGGTACCAGGAGCATCTCATGGGGCCCCCCTACTGACCCTGGGCCCTCGGGCAGTGCCGAGTTTCCAAATGGTCAGTCCGCCCCTGGGTGAAAGAGGACAGCTCTGGCAGGTTCCCTTCTTTACAGTAAAGTTGGAAGAGAGCATTCCATTGCCCTTGACTGCTACCTGAGGAATATTGACAGTGTATTGAAGAGTAGTCTTCATGAATCTCCAGCTCTCTCTATCGACCACCTTTTTGGTCACCACAGAGAGGAGTGATGGGATGGAGCTGGAGTTACAACAGCCCCTACTTATATATTTTTGGAACATTTTTGACTCCCATACTTGTGGGTCACTGGAAAATTTCCCAGTGCACTGATGTGCCAGTCTGAGATGGAGGACACATGCCCCAGTGAGAGCTGTCCAAAAGACATTTTGGTGAGATTTCCTCTCACTCCATATTTGTCATTCTCATATATAAAAAGAAAGTAAAAGGAGTGACATTTTAAAGCAGACCTTTAATAGGGGATTAGACTCATTTGTAATTATTAGGGAAGTCTTCAAGTCTATTTTTAAAAATTACAAATTATTATTACAACTGTGTGCTCTAGTGACAATTGCCAAAAGTGACAACCCCTTTGGAGAGATTTCCTTACATGTCCTGTCATGACACCACTAAAGTCAGGGGACACAGGCAGCAATATAAACCTAAGTTCTATTCCCATCACATTATCCAATTTTTATTCAAATAAATTTTGGCTGGAATCACTCTAATAACTAGAGTCGAACTATACTAGTCTAAATGCCACACTTTGTAATTTAATATGAATATAGCTTCTAACAGACGTTTGGACAAAGATGACCAAGTTCTTACATAAGATAAATCCCTTGTTTTCTCTGTCTACCCACACTATCTTCAGTTAAATAATTGGTCGGTGAAAAGATATAATTTTAGCTACAGTCAGAGCCCATTCGCACTGAGCAGTTTAGTGTGTAGGCAGCTGTCCATTTCAACAGCAGTGAGCCTTGTTGAATGGGTGGGGTGATACACATTTTACTGCATCAACACAGGTCCCTTCCCATATGGAAGAAAAATATATTTGAACTACACTTTAAAAATATTCTTCCCAAAATATATTGACATATAATTGAAATGCTACAATTTTGGCCGTATTCAATATATTTCAATAAATAAAATATATATATATATATATATATATATATATATACACACACACATACATACATACACATACTGTATGTTGAAAAGCATTTTTATTGCAAAATATATGAAAATATTTTTAAAAATACATTTCAAATATACTGTATATCTTTAAAAATACCAATGTACATTTTTGGAATATATAACAAATATATGTAAAATATATCTCTTAAAATTACTTTTTTATATAGTCAAAAAAAATCTAAAGAATATATTTAAAATATATATCTTTTTTTTAAATATTTTTTAAAAATATATTCTTCAGATTTTTTTAACATATAAAAAAGTCATTTTAACATATTTTTTACATATATTTGTAATTTGTATTCCAAAAATGTAGATTTTGTATTTTTAAAGACATACAGTACAGTTGATATATATATGAGAAATCTTTTTCAAAAATACATTTTGTAATAAAAACACATTTACAATATATATATATATATATATTATATATATTTATACATTTTTTGGAACCTTCACCTACGCGCGAACTAACGTGCGAGTTTTCCGAGATACGAGCAGTCGCTCGGAAGATTTGTTTTTAGTTTAACGATTTTTTGCTTCGGCACGTGAGCAGAATTTTAAGATACGATTTCGAGGCGCGCGCAGCTCTAAGTGTAATATTTTCAAGGCGCGCGCAAGCAGCTCAGAGGGTATGAGTCACAGCATCCCATCTCCGTTTTTTTTTCTCTCTCTTTTCGCTGTCTACATTTTTGATTGAAATCCCATTTTTTAACTTTGTTGTAACCATGGCACCAAAGAAAGCAAGTGGTAGTGCGAGTACCGAGAAGAGGAGGATGATGTCCCTCGAAATAGCTTGAAATCGTCGAGAAGCATGAGCAAGGAATGCGAGTAAACGAACTGGCCAAGCACTACGATTTTTTTACAAACGTCAACGATTTTGCACCATCTTAAAACAGAAGGAGTCCCTAAAAAAAAATTTTTTTTTTTTGGTGTCAAGATTATTTCAAAGCGCCGTACAGATGTGCATGAGAAGATGGAGAATCTGCTGTTGTTTTTGGCTGACGGAAAAACAACTTGCTGGAGATACCGTCACCGAGGGAATAATCTGCGAGAAGGCGCGCAGTATTTTTTCAGATTTTACAACAGCAAACCCCAGGCACTTCAACGGAGGAGGAATCCTTTAAAGCCAGTCGGGGCTGGTTTGATAATTTTAAGAAAAGGACGGGGATTCACTCCGTTGTTAGGCATGGTGAGGCAGCAAGTGCTGATGTAAAGGCACAGAGGAGTTTGTGAAAATTTTTCGCAGAATTCGTCGAGGAAGAAGGATACATCCCCCAGCAAATCTTCAACTGTGACGAGACAGGGCTGTTCTGGAAGAAGATGCCGAGGAGAACATACATCACCGAAGAGGAGAAGAGGATGCCAGGACACAAACCTATGAAGGATAGGTTGACCCTCGCCCTGTGTGCCAATGCGAGTGGCGACTGCAAAATAAAGCCGCTACTCGTATACCATTCGGAGAACCCCAGAGCCTTTAAAGCACACAAGATAATAAAGGAGAAACTCCATTTTATGTGGAGGGCAAACCCTAAGGCGTGGGGTCACCAGGCAGTTCTTTATCGACTGGGTAAACCTTGTGTTTGGTTCCTTTCGGTGAAGAAATATTTGAAGAACAACAACCTGCCCCTGCGAGCCCTTCTCGTCCTCGACAATGCTCCTGCACATCCACCACAGATCGAGGAAGAAATACTTGATGAGTATAATTTTGTGAAGGTTCTCTACCTTCCTCCAAAACACCATCCCTATCCTCCAGCCAATGGACCAACAGGTAATATCAAATTTCAAGAAACTCTACACCAAGCACCTGTTTCGCTGTTTGCTTTGAGGTGACGGAGAACACAAACCTCACCCTTCGATTTTTTGGAAGGAGCATTTTAACATAGCAATAGGCCTCAAAATCATCGATATTGCCTGGCAGGGGGTTACGAAAAGGACCTTTGACCTCTGCTTGGAAGAAGCTGTGGCCTGAAAAATGTGGCTGAAAGAGATTTTGAAGGGTTTTGAGATTGAGGAAGAAGAGGAGCTAGTGGAGGAAGAGATTGTGTCCATTGGCAAGACTATAGGTCTGGAGGTGGATGAAAGAGACATCGAGGAACTCGTGGAGGAGCACTCCGAGGAACTTACGACTGACGAGTTAAAGGAGTTACAAGAGCAACGGCACACAGAAGCATTAACTGAAGCAACTTCGGAGGGAGAGGAGACAGAGCCAGAGATAATCAGTACAAAAAGACCTCAAGGATATTTTGGCAATGTGGGAGAGGGTGGCAGGTTTTGTTGAAAAGAACCATCCTGAAAAAATTGCAACGAGTCGTGCGACAGAGCTTTTCAACGACACGTGCCTACGTCGTTTCAGAAACATTCTCAAAGGAGAATGAAACAGACTTCCTTAGACATGTTTCTTAAGAAAAGGCCTTCAGCTCGAAGTGAGCAAAGTGTGGCAAAAAGGCCAAGAACTAGTGAAAGTGAAGAGAGTGATGAGAATTAAGCGAAAACAAAAATCATCTCCAAGGTAAGTAAATTGTATACAACCTTATTATGTATCTTCATTTTATTTTCTTTCTATTTTGTTTTTATATAATATTAGTTATGTAAAAAGCTTTTTTCCTTATGAAATAACAAGAAAAATGAAAAATATGAGGTGCCATTTTGAGGGTTGGAACGGATTTACGGCTGTTTCCATTATTTCTTATGGGAAAATTGATTTAACGAGCGCGAGCATTTTGAGTTACGAGCTTGGCCACGGAACGAATTAAACTCGTAAGTTGAGGTTTCCACTGTATATATATTTATATATACATATATAAAATTTTGTTTATTTTTTTTTTTTTTAATATATTGAATATGGCCAAAATTGTAGCATTTCAAACATAGGTCATATCTTGGAAGAATAATTTAAAAATATATTTCAAATATAATTTTCTTCCATGTGTGTTTTTTGGGCAACTTTGTTTAAATTAAAGTGCACAAAGTGACACTTCCTTCATGTCACCACACAGCAGCTCAGCAACTTTGAAGTGCACAAATTGACACTTCATTCCAAGGGCAGACTGACAACTCATGGGGCCCCCGGGCAATAGGGGATCATGGGGCCCCTGTGTCCATGCCCAAACTCAAGAAAGCCTATGAAAAAGGTACCAGGGGCATCTCATGGGGCCCCCTACTGACCCCGGGGGCCCTCGGGCAGTGCCCGAGTTTCCAAATGGTCAGTCCACCCCTGCTTCATTCATGTCACTGCACAGCAGCTGAGCAACTTTGAAGTGCACAAAGTGACATTTCATTCATGTTATTGCACAGCAGTGCGTTTTTGCTTGCAATAAAATGCAGTATGTGTGTTGCAGTGAGAATGTGTGCCCATAAACATAGAAAAAAAAATGTTTTCTATGTGCCCTCGTGGTGACTGGTGCTCTTGCAGTGCAGAAAAACTCCAGTCAGTGTGAATGAGCCCTTGGTCTTTATAATACATTTTGCCTACTTAATTACATATTACAGGATCAACTTTAGGGAACTTGTTTCACTAGAAATATTTGACACAATGAGAACAGACAAGACAAGACATGCCAGGGTTGGCAAACTTCAAATCCGGCTGCATGTGGTTGAACGGCCTTTGCTTTGTATACAAGTTATTAATCAGTGTGGCGCTATCAATCCAAGTATAAAAATACAAGCAATCATATATACAAAAGTGCAATCAATATATCCTGTGTGAATATAAGGCTCCATACACACTGGACATTTTTCTATCGCTCCTAAACGCCTTTCCTCATGGCAGCAGCATTTTGGCAGAAAAAACACTTGATGCA